AGTGTATTGTCGTCATCCCCCTCTTCATAATTTTGGATTAAAGAAAAATTTGATTTCCTCTAAGGCAAAGTCCACAGCAAACTTTAAAGAATCAGTTTTTAAAAAAATACTTTGCTAGTGTCATGAACTAATATAAAAAGAAAACTGATACTAAGCATTATCACAGGCTAAATAGAATAAATAGAAACTACATTTGCTATTGTACATCTTGCTTTTCCCTCGTTCATAGTGCCTTATGTGTAGATAAACTTTGAGATTTTCAAAGGTAACTGAACTGAGAAAGATTATGTGTATAATCGTGGTAATTACGTCTAGGATATTTCATGTAGCAATTTTAATACACTTTTAATAGATGCATCTTAGCAATCATGATATTCGTACATTTGGTGAGAGGAAGTGATTGCCGTCAGGCATACGGGTTTGGGAAAGGACAGCAGGCTGGCAGCTCCTGCCGCAGGGTAGGATGCTGACCTAAATAATCCCTGAAGTCTCTGGCAAGTAAGAGCCGGTACAAGCTGCCCCGTGCACCAGCTGCCGTAGAACAAGGTGAGCTCTGTTGAGTCAAGCTGGAGTTTGGCCGGAAGCTTTTGGTTTGTACTTTATGCTGAATATTGATTTGATTTCTAGCGTTAGTCATACAGCAGGCTTGAGGTGGCTGAAGGGTTGACTTGTAACTCAGTAGAAGGCTCTTGGGAAGAAGCAGACCTACTCTAGTGCTACAGCAGGCCGCAACGGGGGAAGGTGTGTGCAGGAACAGAGCCTCCATGATAGTGTTACTTTAAGTTGAGGTAAAGGTTATTATCTCAGTCTTGGAGAAATGAGGATGTGGGAGAAGTATAGTGAATTGCATAAGATAATGAGAATTTGGCAGCAGAACCAAAGCATTGGTTTCACAACAACTAGTGATGTCAAGGTACTTTAGTCTATGTAAAAAGAAAAAAAAAAAAAAAAAATTAGGCAGGCAGTATGCTTTCCTGACAATTAAAAGGCTGAATAAAAGACATCTTTCATATAAATATGGGAGAAGAGATGAAAGATTAGTTATTAACTGTCACTTTCTTGTTGCATACTGACAGTGTAAATCAGATTTACCAAAGCTATCAAGTCTTTATTGAAATCTTTCACTGCTACCTCCTTAATTCAGTGTCTGCACTGCAACATTTTCCCAAATGTCAGCTTTCAGCTTCTTGATGGCGTTTATAATCGCATCGGTTAAGTCAGGCTCTGCTTTATAGGCAGACTTTTAAACCTTAGGGCCTTTTTACGATACTGCGCGGGTTCCTCCAGTGATATTTGGGGTATGATAATATACAGCAATTGCACCAGTTGAATTTAAATCAGTTCAGTCAACAGATGTGACTTGTGAGTTGTTGGGGAAACTACGAATATTTTCATCTATTCAAATTAATTATTACAAGCTTTTTTTATTTTGTCTGTAAATTTTTGCTGTCTAGGCTATGTGGATATAAGGCAAGTTTAAGAATGTCACCACAGGATCACACCAAATATAAAGTTACGCTTTGGGTTGTAATGATTTAGGAGAGGTAAGTAGGACTTTAGAGGTCCGAGATACTAGTATTTCTTGGTGCGAGTAGCATGTAAAGACAGCTAGAAAAGTGAATTTCAGCTGTGGGGAAGGCAGATTTGGAAGCAATTTAGAAAGAAAAGGCAGAACCCAGGAACAGAAATTCCCAGAATGTCCCTTCTGGTCTCCTGGGGGTGGGTGGCAAGGTGCTGGCAGGAGGGGACTGCAGGGGTGGCCTCTGACAAGAGAGAAGGAGCTACCCTGTGTCGGACAAAGCCCGTTCCCGCCAGCTCCCAAAGACTC